CCACTCGGACCTTCAAGGTAAAGAAAAGAATGTGTTTCAGACAATTTGCTGATAGCATCTCTCATAAAAGTACTTGGAAACACATTTGGAATGAATGTAAAATTTTTAGAAATAAATGGGTCAAAGTAGGTCATTCTCGCGCTAGAGAAAATAAGCAAAGTTCCCACAAAATCCTTACAGCCTTAAGGAAAATAAGCCCGGCCTGGCCAAAGACCAATCCTCAGTGGGTTTCTCAGTGTGTCCACAATCCTTTTTTTGACCACTATTTTGATTTTATCTGGAAGGATGGGAGGAGGTGATGAAAAGAATGTATAAGACCTATAACACTTACGTCATGCATGTGCAAATTGTTTGAAACACTCATCAAAAAAAGACTTTAATGGTGGGTTGAGTATAACGGCTACCTCCCTCAGAGCCAATCTGGTTTTAGAAAAAAAAGGCCATGTTATGATAACTTGAACAATCTTGAACTCACTATTGAAAGCGCGTTATTAGATAGAGACGACGTGTTTGCCGCCTTTTTAGACGTTCGGGGTGCCTTTGATGATGTTAATTGTGACATTCTCCTTTCCAAACTTTCAAAAATTAGTGTTTCGGGAAAGACCATTAAGTTTATCAAGCACCTAACTCACGTAAGATATGCTCTTTCTAATGAAAATGATGCGACGCACCGAATTATTAATAGGGATGTTCCACAAGGTGGAAGTTTCATGAATTCACCACAAGAAATGCAATAGAGCCTTGAATATGATAAAATTCCTTTGCGAAACTTGTTGGGGTGCACACCCTAAGGTACTGCTGATTCTGTATAAGAGCTTTGTCCGTTCCTCGATGGAGTATGCCTGCTTCATTTACCTACCAACTCAAAAAGCTAATGTAGATAAAATAGAAAAAATTCAGTTAGCTGCTGTTAGACGAGCTATGAGATATAGGATCTCCACTCCTAAAAACATATTACTCGCTGAGTCTAAGCTTATCTTCATCCAGGAAAGATCAAAGCTCCTTTGCAATATGTTCATTGCCAAGGTCTTGTCCAATTCATGTTCTTGTCTAGCCGCTGAAGTACTTGAATTCAAAGAGGAATGCTCTGTAAATGAGAATAAAAAAAAATCGCACTACCTTAATTAACAGTGTCAATGCTCAGTGTAATGCACTCTCCATTTATACTGATGGCAGTAGAATTCCTGCTAACCCTTACGTTGGCTCTGCTTGCTTTTGTCCTGATCTAAGCATTGCAAAGGTCAGATTTTCATATGCTCAAGCTTCAATATTTACGGCAGAGTGCGTTGCTTTAAATGATGCTGTGGACCTAGTCATGCAAAATAAAAACAGAAATTTTCACGTCTTTACTGATTCATTGAGTGCTTAAGAAAGCCTTCAGAGTAATCAAGTCAATATCAAAACTAATTTCTACGTCTTAGAACTGAAAAAAAACATCTTGAGCTCACTTCTTACTGTACAAACCCTAATGTAAATCTTGTCAAATTTTTCTGGGTGCCAGCTCATGTAGGCGTCCTTGGCTATGAAAAAGCTGACGCTCTTACTAAGGAAGCGACAAAGAGTTGATTGGTCAACGAATTTCTCCCTATTCCTTTTACTAGCTACTTTGAAAAATTTAAAAGAGAATTCATAAATAATACTCGAGAAATAATTGAGAGGGATTGTGCATTGAAAGGGAAAACATACTTTAAAGAATTTCACAATAATCACCCAAAACCGTGGTTCTACCACAAAGGCTCAGATACAGAGACAATTGTTACTATTAATCGGTGTAGGGCCAATCATTTTAACCTGGGCTTCACTGCAAGTGTGGGAAAAGCGTGGAGAGCCTAGACCATATCTTGTGGCAGTGTGAAATATATGTGAAAGAACGTTGCACTCTTCTCATCAAATTGGGAAAAATAAAGTCTATCAATCAACTCAATGTTAAAGCTTTATTAAAGACGCCCAATATTCAAGCATGGATAAATCACCATGTTTCCCTGTCCTGAGAAGGACATTTCGTTTGAGTACCTCGCCTTATAGGCCATAACTCTGGGGACGACTCTACTTCTAGTGACGGCGTTACTTGGGACGTGATATTCTTGCGCCTTTTTAAAGGCACGAGGATACACGCATCTAGCTCAAAGCCTTACAACATACCACTCCGAGTCCAACCTCAATTGACCGAAAACACCCGGCTCTCTGCATATCGTTTTTCGACTTTGCAGCTCCGGAAAAAATTATAAGTTACAATGTCATAGTAATATTTGTCTATTGTAAGTTATAATTATCATAGCAATAAGTTTTCGTCATCAACACAAGTTCTTTAAAGAAACTATATTGTTATAACCTGGATTCATATTTTTTCTAATATTAATAAAAATTGTAATAAGAAAACAGTGAAAACAAAAGACGTAGAAGTATCAGGAACACAGAGAAAAAGTAAGGTAAGCAGGTAATAAAAAAAAATTAATAATAAAAAAAAGAGACGCAAGGAAAAAGGTGTACGCAATGACAGCTCAAGTAAAAACCATGTGGGGGATATACAGCTTTGAGGCGCATGCTATGTAAGCACAGGTGAATCCTGCGTGGGAGAGTCCTAGAGCCAAAAAGATGCGCCGGACACTCGATAAAAGGAGAAGGGAAGAAATGCGTAGATGATTGGGGGGAATTAGGGCTAGGCCTGAGTACTTAAATTAAGTACGGTAACTACGGTAAGGCACGGTAAATCCGAACTCAGCTTGATTTAAACTCAGAATATTTTCTTAATTAATTCTCGATACAACTTTAAGATTCAAATATAAATTATTGGGCTTGAAATTGAGTCATTTGAGATACATAATCCTACATGGATTTTTTTTCAAATAAATTCCATATTTAAATTCATTTTTCTTTATCACTTAACAAAGATTATTAAAAGAGAAAATCGCGAGTGTAAGAAGAAAGAAGATCAGTCGATTAGGAGGCTTCAGCGAAGATTTCCAACGAGGCAACGCCAACCTTTCACCAAAAGCAGCCGTAAAACCATAAAGTCATCTCAACAGCGCCGAAAGACACCGCACTAACGCCGAGAGCCAAGAATCGAAGCGTCAATTAAACCAAGCAACTGCAGCCTTCCACTCGTATACAACCTTCTGCTACCTAGCTACCTGTTAGCCAAGCTGTAAAACAATTTAGTGTTTAAAAAAATGACAGAAATTAAATAAAGAATTGACTATCATAAAAACAAATCTCTATCTTTCTTTGAGAGAAAAATATGCACCAGTGTGGTTTGTAAAGCACTAAGAACCTTTCCTATGTCTCCGCACCCACGATGAATAGAAGACGATTGGGTCTTGACTCGAAAAAGTGACTATTCTGTTACTGAGACGTAACCATGTATCATTTATATTAATCCAACTATTGTGCTCAGTGCTAAATCCTAACCACTTTACATATGCTTGATTTCCACGTTTTTAAAAATTTTTTTTCCAGATAAACATCATATATCACAACATCAATACCATGGTTGCGAAAGAGAAAATATTAGCTATCAAAAAAGGAGTTGTTGAAGTGAAAACTTCTTTAGGCGCGTTAAGCGTTTTAGTAGAGGGTACAATCCTCGGTTCGTGTCACCGACATGCTAATGATAATAGTATATCTATAGCTATGGCCAGACTAGCGCACGCGCAGTAGCCTGTGTACACGTATACACTAATACATCGACTATTTCTGACTGTATTATGTGCGCGTTGGACGCTTTTTGGATAGGTATAATTTTGTGAGTTCACGTCACCAACACGTTATAGTAACAGTACATCTGTAATTGTAAATGTGACACGTTGTACATTAAGTATTAGAGTGTGGTTATCTACATAAGTAAATTGACCACGTGGAAAGTTCAACTTGTGTGTACTGGATTTTGTTTATTTAAGTGAATTTTCAATTTGACTTTTATTGTAATTATTTAATTGAAGGATTACTGTTTATTTATTGACTTTCAATTCATTGACTTCAGTATAAAAGTGAGTATGAAACATATTAATATTTTTATACCCCGGGGTTCCACGATCTCTATAAACGAGTGAGTGGAACATAGGTTGAGCACCTACCGGGCGCGTCTCCAGGTGGCGGATAGCAGCATTGTCCGGGTAGTACCGAGTGGAGGCCTCGGGGGCCGCGAGGCGTACCGAGTGCAAACACGAGGGAAGCCGCTGGCAAGTGCAGCTTGGGTGTGTACACACTTTAAGAGGCACCGTGGACCAACTCCCCAAGTCAAGGTGTAAGCCATCGTGCTGAAGACTGAATGGCACTGGGACACTGTGTCGCAAACGATGCCCTTGGGGTACCAGGCGACCCCCCATTGTAGCTAGCCTTACCTGTGCAAGAGGCTCTGCACAGGTGGACCTTTATTTCCTCATCACTCGTGGGACTCGAATGGATGATCTAGACAACATTCGGAGTAGTGGGGGTCCTATCTCTTCTGACGAAGAAATAGGACTTGGAAAAGTCGAGCGAAGAAGGCTCGCGTAGCACCTGGGCCTAGCAGCTTTGCTGAAGCGGCTGCGGGAGGCAAGAGGGTGGCCATCGCGCCGGACCTCTATCCTTCTGCGACCCTCAGCAAGCAGCAAGGGGAACTAGTGCTGGCAGGACTTCTTCGGGCCCTGGACGATGCCATCAAAAGTGGCACTGTTCTGGGATTTGAGGGCCACAAACTCGACAGAGGGCTTCTGTGGATCAACTGTCCTGATGAACGGGCAGCCACATGGCTCAAGGAGACAGTCCCCTCCATAAAGGTCTTGGAAAGAGTAAACCTCGAGGTTCTCGAGAGGGAGAAAGTTCCAAGACTCTCCAGGGTCACCGCGACGTTTCCCGGGCCACCGGTGGATCCAGCGGTGATCTTGAAAAGACTCGAAGGCCAAAATGCCGGACTGCATACCAACCTCTGGCGGGATTGGAGCACGAAGGCAACGCCAACACTGACTAGCTTAGTCATTGGCGTGGACGACGAGTCATTAAAGCTCTTGAAAGGGTTAGGAATGAGTCCTTACTGCGGCCTAGGCAGAGCTCGATTTTTCGAGGCGCCAAAGGCTGTGGAGGGGAGGCAGGCCGAACCCGGAAAGAGGAAATTACCGGTGGCAGGGACCTCCAAGGTGGTACCCCCTCCGAGAGGAAAGAGGAGGCGTGCGGAAACGCACGCAGCCTCTACCTCGAAGGAGAAGGGAGCACCAGGAGGGCCCACCAACCCTCCACCTCCGAGGGAGCCATCACAGGGGCTTGAGAAAGCGAACTGTGAAGAAGGCAAACCTCGGACCAGTGGACGGGCTACGCCAACTCCTGGGGCACGGGGGAGACCCACGAAGAACCAGGAGTTGGCAAGGGTGGGGAGGGTCCTGTCTCAGATCAGGCTAACCGACATGGTAAAGCCTGGAGCAGAACCTACGGGTAACCCTCCTACGGGAGAGGGCGCAAAAAGGGACGGCGACATGGCTGGCCCTTCTACGCAGGATTAACCTTCCTCCTACGCTCCCGCATCCCAATCCTATTCCCAACACGCGAAATCAAACGGCGCCGGAATCCCTGCGATATCGGGGCTGTTAAAGATTTCGCAGATTAACTTGCATCACTGCTACACGGCCGCGGCACTACATTGTCGAAACCTAGCAGTGAAGCACACAGATGTTTCCCTGATCCAAGAACCTTATTGTAGGGAAGGAGAGGTCTTGAAGGGAGACGCCAAAGGCGGATCCTTCATAAGCGGTAAAGGTGATAGGGACCCTAGGGCATGCGTTTTCGTGAGACGAGAACTAAACCCTGTGGGGCTCAGCCAATACTGCACAAGGGATCTGGCGGCAGTACAGGTGAAAATAGAGCTGGGAGGGGATCCGATCAAAGTCGTTATCGGCTCGGCATACCTTCCTTATGACTCTGATGAACCACCACCCACTGAGGAGGTCAAACGAATCGTGGAGTACTGCCGAAGGACGAACTGCGAGCTCATATTAGGATGTGATGCTAACGCTCATCACACCTTTTGGGGCAGCAGCGACACTAATGAGAGAGGGGCCAGCCTGCTGGAATACCTCACTCGGCACGGCCTAGAAGTCCTGAACAGAGGGCACAAACCTACGTTTGTTACCTCGGTCAGGCAGGAGGTCATCGACATAACTGTCGCCACGGCAAAAATCTATGATTTCGTCAGGAAGTGGGAGGTGGACGAAGAGGAAACTCTGTCGGACCACCGGCGCATTAATCTCACTCTGACAGGGGAAGTGGGCAACGTGGTACCGCAACTCCGTAGGGACCCAGGAAGCGCTGACTGGGGCCTGTTCAAGCAGGAACTAGAAAGACTCATGGGGGAACCCGGAACGGAAGGGCGTGTAGGGTCTCCGGCCGGCCTCGATGAGGCAGTGCTGGACCTACAAGACGCTATTGCAGGGGCCTATAGTTGCTCATGCCCAGCTAGGGTGATGCAGGTCGCTGCTGCCCCAAAAGGTGTGATGAGCGTTAGCATCACATCCTAATATGAGCTCGCAGTTCGTCCTTCGGCAGTACTCCACGATTCGTTTGACCTCCTCAGTGGGTGGTGGTTCATCAGAGTCATAAGGAAGGTATGCCGAGCCGATAACGACTTTGATCGGCTCCCCTCCCAGCTCTATTTTCACCTGTACTGCCGCCAGGAGTGCAGGAGAGTCTCATGGTGGAACAGGGAGCTTGAAAAGGCTCGCAGGGAAACCAGGAGACTCTTCAACAGGGCAAAAAAGCTCAAGACGGATCAGATGTGGACTGAATTTAAAACCTCACGGAGAAGATTCAGGTCTATGATCAACGCAGTAAGGAGGCAAGCCTGGAGAAGCTTTTGCGAGAGACTGGAGGCCCTACCTGAGATAGCCAGAATCCGCAAGCTGATCACCCCCGGCAGGAACGTGGCGCTCCGAGGCCTAGAATCTCCGGAGGGAGAGATGGTCGACGACCATCAAGGCATACTGGAGCTCCTCATTAAAACGCATTTTCCGGGATCGAACCCGGTGCAAGAAACCACAAGCGAGGCTGATAGACCAGGCGGGCTCGTAAGGGCCGACTGGGAAACCGCCAGGCGGGTGGTGACCTACGATCGGGTAAAATGGGCAGTCGGTACCTTTGATCGCTACAAGAGTCCAGGCACGGACGGAATCTATCCGGTTCTGCTGCAAATGGGCGGGGAGCGACTATGGCGCAGACTGGTACATATTTACCGATCTTGCCTTGCCATGGGTTACATACCTAAGGCTTGGCGGACGGTCAGGGTGGTATTCATACCCAAAATGGGGAAGGACCGCTATGACCAAGCAAAGGCCTACAGGCCCATTAGTCTAACCTCTTTCGTCCTAAAAACGCTGGAGCGGCTTGTGGACTGTTACCTTAAAGAGAGTGCATTGTGCACCAGGCCCTTGTGCTCAGCACAACACGCCTACCAAAGTGGCAAGTCTGTAGAGACTGCCCTCCATGACCTCGTAGGAGGCCTGGAGAGAGCCCTGGAGACAGGCAGGTCGACAATTGGGGTCTTTTTAGACATCGAAGGGGCGTTTGATAACACACCCTTCAAAACTATGGGTGAGGCAGTTCAGAACTTCGGAGCAGACGTCACGCTTGCACGTTGGATCATGAACTTGCTCGCCAGTAGAACAGCCATCGCCTATTTAGGAGGTACAGAGGTTCGAGCTGCAGTGGCCAGGGGCTGCCCGCAGGGAGGTGTCCTATCTTCCCTGCTGTGGACCCTGGTGGTGGACGAACTTCTTACGAACCTGAAAAAGGCGGGCTTCAGCGTTCAAGGCTACGCTGATGACGTGGCCATCACGGTCACAGGCGACGATTTGGGTAGTCTGTCCCTCAGAATGCAGACGGCCCTCAACGTCGTTGAGAGATGGTGCCAGGTTCGAGGGCTCAGGGTTAACCCGAGCAAAACTGAACTGGTTCTGTTCACAAGAGGAAGGAGGACTGAGTTCAGGCCTCCCTCCATCTTTGGCAAACAGCTGAAATGTTCGGAAACAGTGTGCTACCTTGAAGTAACCTTAGATAGGAAGCTCCACTGGAGGGCACATGTGGACAAACAGGTCAAGAAGGCCACGGCTACCTTCTGGACCTGCAGAAGAATTCAGCGCTACATGGGGACTGAAGCCGAAAACAATAAAATGGCTGTACACAGCTGTTGTCATTCCTCAACTAACCTACGCCTCCATAGTATGGTGGACCTCCGTCAGGAGGAACGCCTGCAGGAAGCAACTAAATAAAGTCTATAGAGCGGCACTGCTAGGTATAACGGGAGCCCTGAGGACGACCCCAACCCTAGCTATGGGCTGCCTACTGAGCATCCCTCCGCCGGAACTGATGGTGGAGGTGTTAGCGAAGAGGGCGGCCATCCGCTTGAGGAGCCATAGACAGTGGACGAGCTTTCGAGCTGGGCATGCGGCGATCCTGGGCCCAGAGGACCCTACGGGACTCAGTGGCAAAAAGGTCGATCGCTGCCCCAGGAAGCTAGAATTCTCACCCGGATACGAAGTCATCTTCATGGACAGACGGACCTGGCTGGAGGAAGGCGAGGAATCGCTTACTCCCAAGGGGCCTGTCTGGTACGTGGATGGGGCGAAGTGTAAGGGGGGAGAGGCCGGAGCCGGAATCTGGTGCGGGGGACCACGGGTGGAGGAATCCTACACCCTGGGCCAGGACGCTTCCGTGTTCCAGGCAGAGGTGTACGCAATCCTGTTATGCGCTATGCATATAACCAAAAGAGATTGCACTGGGCAGCATATCTATATCTGCAGTGACAGCTATGCTGCCTTAACGGCTCTTTCGCAAGTGGCTACCTGTTCAAAACTCGTGGACCACTGCAGAAGGGTACTAAAACAAGCGGCATGCCGCAACAAACTGAAGCTGCTAAAGGTACCAAGTCACTGCGGTATACGCGGCAACACCGAAGCTGACAGGCTGGCCCGTATTGGCGCCAGCGGCGGAGGTGACAGGGGCCCAGTGGAGATAAACGCTCCCGGGGAACTTGTGAAGGCGCTGGGGGACAAGTGGCTGCACAAAAGATTCACCAGCTACTGGGCGGAGACCTCGGGGATGAGGCACACCAGAGCGTTCATCAGGAAACCCACAACTCAAGTGAGTAGGGACTTGATCGAACTGGATAAAAGAAGGCTAAGAGTGGCCGTGGGCACCGTCACAGGGCACTGGCTAACCCGACGCCATATGAAGATGCTGGGACGCGGAGAGGAATCCGCGTGCCGGTGGTGTGGTGAGGAGGGAGAGACGCCTCTCCACATGATAAGGGAATGCTCGGGGCTAAGGGAACCCAGGCAGCGCCTGTTAGGGAACCTTGAGACCGACGCACCCATCCTTGAGACGGTCGGGACGGACAGGCTTCTGCAATTTTGCTACGAGGCCGGGCTGTACCAACCCACCTAAGACCGCCTTTACCACAAGCTTGGACCCAGTACAATGGCCCCGTGGCTAAGTGCAGGGGCGGCGGGGCAGATTAAAGGGGAAAAAAAAAAAAAAAAATATTTTTATACAGATAAATGAATCATGAAAACAACGAATATATTTTCAAACATTTTTAATATTTGTACGAATATTTGTATTTAAAATTTAGCATTATTCATTTTAATTATGTTTTTAATATTTAACCTCTTCATCATGAAATGAGTATTATTACGGTATAAGAGTTATCTTATTAGCGTGGTAAAATAGATTTCTAGTTATTTGATAATATTTTTTCGTGGATTTTAAAATTGGAAAATTAAAAAAATGTTACAATAATTTTAAATTTTATGAAATATGTTCGTTTATTGTAAAATTCAATTTTACGAAGTTATTGTTTGTTATTTGTTATTTTTTCACCAAATAATTATTTATGAACTTATATAATTTAATTTCACTATTAGAAAAAATATTGTAACATAATCAAAATCTCTAAATTTCTATTTTTTATACTTGTTTAGATCCTTGATCCCACGAGAGAAAAACATCACACATTGTCACTTTATACATGGACATCCACACTAAATTCACTAAAAGGATTGGTGTTAATGTTTCAGACATGGGCGAAGTATGCGTTGCTCGTTGCAATTCTGGAAATGGACAATACATTTCAATGGTTGCTGTTTATACATCTCCTGGAAAATCTATGAAACAGATAGAACAATTTTTATTCGAAAATTTAATGATTTACGCAAAAGAAGGTTCTGAATTACTCGAAAAAAGATTTGGCGAAAAATTTGACGACATACCTATGATATTAAGCGGAGACTTCAATATTAACTTCGCAGATGACAAAAATTTATCATTGAATTTTTTAATTAAACATTAGGTTTGACTATGTCTAATGATCGAAAAGTCAGTACAACGAAGTATAAAACGACTATCGATGCTGTTTTCACACAATATCTAGATAAATATCAATCAAACATTTTTATTTCTTATTTCAGTTACCATAAACCTATTGTATCTCTTTTAGAATACAATGAAATGATTG